GATTTCACTGTCGGAGCTGGGCTGGTGACCATGATGCATTAATTCACCTGTGACATCTAAGGACGAGGCAATGCTGCATCGTCCCTGGCTGCTGCTCCGTCCTCTGCTGTGCTGGGGAGCCTGGACTGTGCTGGGCAGCAGAGCAGATGCTCGGTAACTACCAGCACTCTCACTTTGGCCTTGCAGCCTGTCTGTGCACATGGGGCTTCTGAGCACAGACCTCCCAAGAGCCTTTCTCAAAAGATTGTTCCCATCTGCTGACGTGCTAAGGTTGAACTCAGCTCAACCTATCCTGGCTGCAAGAGAAAAACATCAAACTGCCCTATCTCCTCTAATGACCAATGAGATGCAGGTTTCATTTTAAGACATCTAGCTGGACACAGCCAGCAGCCCCGATTAACAGATGCTTACATCGCTGCGGCATTTGTCTTTTAAAATGATTACTTCCCATTGTCATCAGTGTCCCCCGAGAGCTGCTGCACAAACCAAAGGCTGAATGCTGTCCGCCTCTCAGCTCTGGTAACTGCTGGCACATGACTGTGTTGGTAACCGTGCTGGGGTCAGCCTGCCGAGCACTGTGCATGTTTACATTTTAGTATTGCCTCCTGGCCCAGAGGAAACCATCTCTTCCCACCAAGGCGAAACAATCACTTTTTTCAGCATATATTTGTAATGTGCTGTAAAGTCTCACCATTTCTAAATCTGTGAAGGAGGGGTGGCTCACGTATTTTCCAAAGCAACTTAGAATTTTGTGTTCATAAATAGTCTGTCTGTGTGCCAGTCAGGTGGCTAATGCATGGCTGGTACTTTCTTACATTGCACGGCGATTCGCAGGGATCCTAGCAACAACTGCATTTGGTAAAAGGTGTCCATTATATCCAGTGACCTAATGTTTATCACATTCAGTAACTGACCCTCATAGCTACTTCATTTAGGTGGTTTATGACAGTGAACTGCTGAACCACGCAGCAGGCCTTATTCACAACACAGCAGCACTTCTACTTCTGAGGGCTGTTTCACTGCACAACTGCTGTGTGCATGCAAAATGCTCTCTCTAAAAAACAAAACAAAACAAAACCAAGGAATATGCCTATTTCTTCTTTTGACAGATAAAATTGCTCCTGCATAAGCTCACATGTGGCGATAATAAGCCATGGAAGGAATTGTGTGAATTCCCCACAAAAGCTATGGTTAGATGCTACTTGAGCTATGGCTGTAATCCACAACACAAGAAGCTGTGGAAAATGTTGTGCCTTTAGGTCACAGGCAGAGCTTTGAGGAGGCACAGGAGGCTGCCCAGGCTCTGCAGGGGACTCAGCAAGGCAGCTGTTGGTGTGGGGAGCAAACCCAAACCCAGGTGAGAACCAAGAGTCTGCACTGCAGATTAATGGTGTTTGGGTGCCAGAGATCTTCACGTACTGTATTTCAAAGGCAATAGATCCTCATGATGGAAGGGAAGGCACTGAGACTCCACCATTTCTGACAGTTGCTTCTCATCATCTGCTAGTGACATCTCTTGAGGCTTCAGCCAGTCAGTCCCTAATCAAGCCTTGATTCTCAACTAGATATTTTTAAATTCAAAATACTGCACTGCAAAAAGCAACGCTGGCATAAATTCCCATCTGTCCTCTCATAATCAACTCCCAACACTGTGAGCAATCTTTCTGAAATCCAGATGACCTGAAAAACAATACTGCAATAAATGGATGCTTCTGTCCAGGACAGTTTAGGGACACTGATCCTTCCAGCAGTAGATATCTCTGAGATATTTTTATATATTCATCATTATCCTATTGCCCTCACTTCTAACTACAACATTAGGACAAGAATTAGGGTAAACACAGTTAAAACATGTTCTCTGTCATATATGCTTATCCATCCCCTTTTGCCCCCAGCAGGTCATCTTTGCCCACAGGAGAACTCGCAGGGTACCATGCAGGCATCCAGGAGTCACCAGGAACAAGGGCACAGTTCACACAGAACAGCATTCCCGCTGCTTTCTTGTTTTGCTGAGCATTAAACAGTGTTTGAGGACGTACCAAAGACCATCTTATCACCTGAGGAAACAGGTGAAGGACTGCCTGAGACTTTCCCATAGCTTCTCTTTGCTTTCCCTATACAGCCTGCACAGGACAAATAGTCCCAAACCTAAGGTGCTGTGATACAGGCAGCTGCACCCCACTGTATATCTGTTTTCACAAAGTCAATGATGTTATTATATTCATATCATCCAGCCAGAAAAGCACTAATGTGATCCCAGGGAAAGCATTTTCAATACAAGATACCATAACCCTTGCAGAAAAATTGGACAAGGCTTGCATGTACTTTGTCAGATCAATTTTCTAATCCGGCTCACCATGCAAAGCTTGCTGGTGTTGAACTTGCATTTCAGTACACTCTGTTACGGCCATTTCTGGGAACCCTGTGAATGGTGGAGGGAGAAGGGATTGAAGAAAGGGCTGTTTATAAATCTGTTCCTGTAGGATAAAGGGAGGAGGTAGGACCAAACAGCAGGACTCCCAGAAAGGGCATATGCCAAGGGGACTGGGCACAGCTTCAGCATCCCTGCAGGAGCTCTCTGCCCAAGCGGCCGTATTTACCTGCAGGGGCCAAAGTCCCCAGCTGTTCCCCTTGCTGCGTGCTAGCTCCAGCTGCTGCTGCTGCAGGGAAACAAATCCAAGGATTAAAGAGGACGTGAACACCATGAGTGATATCCAAGTGAAGCCAAGCTATTCATCCTGGCTGACCAAAGCCAACAGTGACTGGCACTGTCAAGGTAAATGCTTTGACTTAAGGATTTCCTTGACAGTACATCACTCATTTTACCCTTTAGGGCTCATCACTGCAGGCTGGCAGCAATGAAGATGCTGAGAAAAGCATGAGGGCTATCGTAAGGGTCTTCAGGGGACTGGGGCAGTTAGAGGATGGAGCAGGAGTACAGATGGAGGTAGATGATCTTTAAGGTCCCCTCCAATAGAAGTTGTTCTGTGATTCAGTGATCAGAAGGCACAGCAGAGACATTATTTAAGCAAGGAAGTGAAAAACAGTGCCGTGTTCTGAGTTTATCACTCCCATGTCCACTCTGAGCTCAGTGAGGTTGCATTCCTGTGTAAAAGAGCAGAATCAGACAAATTCCCCCAAAGGTGATTGGAGATTATATATTGTTGGGAAGATTATGTAAATATATATATTTAACCTAGAGAATGATTCCATTGGCTGTCATGTTTGCTTTAGTTTTGTTCCAAGATACAAAATTAATCAATTCAGGTAATACAAAAATAGTTGACACTTACAAGGGCTATTACTCAAGATCACTCACTCTGCTGCAGTTCATTTCCCTGACAACAGAAGTCAGCTCCCAGAAAGAAAGTTTTGAAGACATTTATGAAAGAGGAATTTTTACCTAGATTCGAGTAAAACGGTTTTTTAAAAGTGTGTTTTCAGTTGTAGGACATCTTAGATCACTACCTTAGTGTTTTTAACTTCCTTTTTCTCTAATGTGAAGGAATCTTTACAGTTATTGTTGATTTGTTTTGGGAAATCCATCAAAATTGGCAGAAATGTTTGAAGCACTGAATGCATGGATGATGTGATTTATGGAGCACTTATGAAAATGTCAAATACAAACATTTGGCAGTTTGTTATGCAGTGTGCCAGCAGCGCTCTGATTTTTAAGCACAGCTTCAGGTATTCTAGGCTAGTGATTTAAACTTCTGATGGGAGCAGTTGTGGTTGTCTCATTCCAGCCATGCATCTAGGAGGAATTACAGCTTTTTCTTTCCTGATTCGAGACTATAGAGTAATTTCTAGCAAACATGAGCAAGCAGTGAAAGTTTGGGTATACCTTAGTGCCCCAGCAAAGCTCTCAAGGACTGCTGGACCTTCCCTCTGTGGGGATCCCTCCAGGGCCATGGGCTGTAGGACTGAGCCCTCCGTAGAGCACTTACATACAGCTACCTATTTTACTGTCTCTTTTCAACCAGCTAGTAAAGTACTTTTAAGCTGAATCACAGCTTTGGAAGTCTGAAGCAAACCAGCCAGTGAAAACAGCAAAGACAAGAATATCTTCACCACAATATTATTTAAGTGTCATGCAGTACTTCCAGGCACAATTTAGGTGATGGGTCTGTGTTGCAGCCAGATAGTTGCAAGCAGAAAGATTCTCAGGATGCTCAGGGATGTTTACGTTTGTGCTGAGCCAGAACATCCATCATGTCTGACTTGAGCAGCAGGATTTCCTTAAAGACTTGGCTGTACCACTCCAGAGGAAAAACACCTTGTAAGCTGGGAAGGACTTCTGAAGAGCAGCTGTGGCTAAGCAGGCAGGTCTTTATTTCAGTGGTGAGGAGAGACATTTTGCCAGAAACCATCTGTAGGAGAGCGGGTCAGACATCGTAGGCATAGCTGGGAACATCTCAAGGCCTTGCAGAGTACCTCCAGCTTTTGGGAGGAGCTGAGACACGTGCTGTCCTGGGAATCCTCTGCTCGATTGGGATCCCATGTGTAAGCAGTGTTGCTGCAGGGCCAGCCTGGGCAGGAGGAGAGCTGCTCCTCAGCTCCTCCTTGTACCCCAGCCATGTTCTCAGCAGAACAGCCTTTCTGTGCCCTCATCCCTGCTGAGCAAGGCTGGTTGTCCCAGCCCCCTGCTCAGGGTGCTCCTCTGGGCTCTGTGGGGCACCCAGAGAGCAGCAGCAGAGCCACAGCTCTGCTTCTACATCTGCACCAGGGAGGTGGCAGAGGGCTGCTGGACATCGCCTAACCCCACGCAGGGACTCAAGGGACCAACTTTCTGCTCTTTTCCTGGAGTACAGGGTTACCAAGTGACAGTGTAACACACAGCTGGGAGCAGGGCCAGTACCACAGCTGCTCCCTTTCAGTTTCTCAGATTTTAATAAAGGTCATGTTGCCAAGTGCGCAAACATAGCTGCTGCTCCAAGTAAGCACTCAGAAAAGCTGATGTCACATCTTAAAGGCCTAACTCCGTGTTTTTGTCTCCACAGCAAACATCCTGACAGTCATCATCCTCTCCCAGCTGGTGGCTCGCAGGCAGAAGTCCTCCTACAACTATCTTCTTGCTCTAGCTGCTGCTGACATCCTCGTTCTCTTCTTCATTGTCTTTGTTGACTTCCTCTTGGAAGATTTCATCTTAAACAAACAGATGCCTCAGGTACTGGACAAAATAATTGAGGTATTGGAATTTTCTTCCATCCACACATCCATTTGGATTACGGTTCCACTAACAATTGATAGGTACATAGCTGTGTGCCATCCACTTAAGTATCATACAGTCTCCTACCCTGCTCGTACTCGAAAAGTCATTGTAAGTGTTTACATCACCTGCTTTTTGACCAGCATTCCCTACTACTGGTGGCCCAATATCTGGATTGAAGACTACATAAGCACATCAATGCATCACGTCCTCATCTGGATCCACTGCTTTACTGTTTACTTAGTGCCCTGCTCCATCTTCTTCATACTTAATTCGATCATCGTGTACAAGCTGCGACGAAAGAGCAATTTCCGACTGCGAGGATACTCCACAGGGAAAACAACAGCCATTTTGTTTACTATAACTTCTATTTTTGCCATTCTCTGGGCACCAAGAATAATCATGATACTGTATCACCTCTACGTATCACCTATAAACAACAGCTGGGTGGTACATATTGTGTCGGACATTGCCAATATGCTAGCATTGCTGAACACTGCAATTAATTTCTTCCTCTACTGTTTTATTAGCAAAAGATTTCGCACAATGGCAGCTGCCACACTGAAAGCCTTCTTTAAGTGTCAGAAGCAACCTGTACAATTCTATACAAACCATAACTTTTCAATAACAAGCAGTCCTTGGATTTCCCCAGCCAACTCTCATTGCATCAAAATGCTTGTTTACCAGTACGATAAGAATGGAAAGCCTATAAAAATATCACCATGAAGAGGGCAATAATTGGAGTTTCTGGGTGAAAGTTCTTTACAAGTGGTTACATATTCAGGATGTAATCTGCTGAAGTGGCTGTTTTAAAGAGTGGTCATCCGATTTCATTTCCCTGGGAGGCTGAGGGCAGATGTGACTGTTAGAAGGGAATAGGAGCACTTGATTTTAGGAGCAGAAATATGATGGCAAATGCCTTCATCTTCTACACAGCATTTTGAATATGCTTCAGAGTTCAAGTCTTAGCATTCAGTTGCATTCAAACGTTTTGCATCCAAACACCAGTGCAGTCCAAAGTCTTTTGAGGGAGGAAGCTGCAATAGTTAATTACTTTTCAGAAACAACAAAGTCTTACTTGACCATGTAGTTCACCATCAGAAGAGCAAACTGATGCTTTCACGTGCTGTGGAAGGTGCCATTTCTGTTATATGCCCTTGCCAAAACAGATGTGTTCTCTCTGACATGAAATACCGCCACACAGATTTGCTGTCAAGATCTTTTGGCAGGTGGCAGTCGTGAGGCACAGACTATGACAAGCCCCTTTTGGCTCATCTGAGCGGGACTCAAGGGCCGATATTTGACCTGTTACACAGCCTTGGCATGGAAAGCAATCCTGCAAGCTGTCAACGTTCACATGTTTTAAGTTATTTAAGATACAACCAAGACAGGGGAGATTGACAGAGGGAGGTTTCTAGAGCCAAGAACAAAGGCAGAGAATTGTCCCCGCTATTTCAATTACGGTATTTGAAGACTCGCAAGTGTGAGGCCAAATCCTGCCTGATGCTGAGCTGCCACTGAAGCTGGTCCTGCAAGATTTGGATTGATTACAGCCCTCACTTTCCTCGTTAATCAGTGAAGATTCTCAGTTATCCCCCACGTTCAGGCCTTTAGGGATTATACGTATAAAACCTTAACCTGAGATTTTCTCCTGGCAGATTATGCTATTCCTATTGCAGATTTGCCATTCAATTGTTAAAAGAGTATTTGTGAAAGAAATCCAATAAATCCATTGAATACCCTACGGCAGTGAAAACATAGATTAGTTTCAAATATTTACCTTATTTAAAGTGGCTTAATTTCTCTTTCTTTACACTCAAAAAAAGCTTCACAGCAACGCTGGGTGTAGAAAATGGGAAGAGATTTACAGGAAGGCTTAAAGTGCATTTCTTTTACTTTGTCTCATTTTCAGATCTTGGCATATGGTCTCTCAGAATCATGTACCCCAGCTTTTTCACTTAGGTATTGGGTGTTTAATACAGCCTTACTAAATGTGTGAGCAGACTTCCTTGCATGGTGAACACAAGCACAATTTGGTCAGTGAACACAGCAGCCTCTCAGTAACTGCAAACAAAACACAGCCTGGTGCTAGCAGTGTGTTTGTGTCTGTGCCCACCTCCATTACCAGCGGGGAGCTCATGGTGCATCTGGGACTACTACAGTGAGGTTCCCAAAAAAGGATCCAGTCTGTTCTGCTTCAGTGGGATCTGAGGGTTGAAAGCATCCCTCTAAAACCTGTGGATGGCTCAGCTTTGGTGCACAAACACATCCTAAAAAATACCAAGTCTGCAGAAGTCCTGCTGAGGACAACAGCCTGGTTTCCTTCTGCCATGCAATTACATACCTACTCCTGCTGGCATCCTGCAAGACCAAAACCTATCCCAAACCCAAGCACACCTTGGGAGGAAATGGCAGCAGAAGGCACAAACCATGAAGAGTGGGGCTGCGTGCAATGGCTGGCTGAGGTGCAGAAGGGCTTTCTCAGGAAAGGTCGGACTACTCAGGTTGGATGGGCCCAGCGCCTTGGTGAGCAGGTGCTGCCCACTGCTCCCCATCAGCAGAGCCATCGGACCAGGTGAGATGCTCAGAGCTGCTCCACCAAGAGAAGCAGCACCCCAAGGACCGTGCTGGTGTGGCAAGGAGAGGGGCTCGGCGGGCAGAGTGAAAGCTGTCCCTTTCCAAAGGAATGCTGCAAGCCCAAATCTCCACATATTCAAAGGGAAATGAAGAGCCTCCTCATATTCTGGCCTGTTTGCCCCTGTAATCTCAACAAAATATCACACTTACTTGCAATAATAAAGCATAAAAGGGATTCTCAGCCTTGCTGTATTTATCACAGCAAGGTTAAAATTACTCCTCCCTTTACTAGTGTTTTACATAAATAGTCTTGTGGTCATGCCTTCTACCTTACTCAGAAATCTCTTTCTGTTCTTTATGTGTCTGTTGATAGTAACCAAAGTTACCTATGGAAAAGGTACTGTATGTCTCATTTTGGAGAAAACACTGTATTTATAACTTATTTTTATGCTGAATTTGTTATGAGGAATGCTAGTCTGAGTTACATGTGAATGAGTCTGAAGTGCAATATCTATATAGATAAGTAATTCATTTTTGAGAATGTATCTATTGAAAAAATATTTATACAAGATATTCACTATTCTGCTTAATATAACAGTAACCTTACAGAAAATAGTGAATATTTAGGGCTTTTATTTATTAAAAAAAAAACTCAATTAGGTGCATGGCATATGCTGCCATACACATGGTGTGATTTATCAGTTTTTGTAACATAATGGTTTTCCTGCAAACTGGCAGAATCATCTGACTTTTTCCTGTCCTAATGAAGTATTTTTGTAAGTTCCCATATTTAAATATTTTTTTTTTTTTGCATCGATATTTATTTCCAACTAAGAATAACTCATTAAATAGTTGTAGCTTCATTTCAAAAAACAACTCCTAACCTGTTCCGTATCACTTTAGAAATGACATGGTGCAATTTTCACATACAGTGGTCATCTTATTTCTGATAATTTAGGGCTCTAAGAGCTTGCTTCCAAAGCCCCTTCAAGTCAAAGAGAAGATTGTATGAGGCTTTTGTGGTTGGTTTCTCCAATCCCCATCAATTTAGGAGGGCTTTGGATCAAGACATATCTTGTTAACAGACGTTTGAAGCCTTGTTAGAGTCTGGTTTGGATAATAAAGCCTTGACATTTTTGGTCTGCGTATGAGAGCTGCTGTTGATAATACTTGCCTTATTTTTTGGTTTTGTGGAGCATCTTGCAATGACTGTTGCTAACTAGCCAATGTCTTGCTGTGTTATTCATACCTCCTAATTTTACAATAGTAAAAACAATTAACTGAGCACATAAAGTTTCATTATTTAGGGAATTTAGGGAAAAAACATCCTGGAGACAAAATCATCTTTGTTCTGGAGGTGGTCCTTTGTACTCAATTTCTATTTCAAGTATCAAGAACTATAAAAAATAAACTGTGAATGGACAGTTTTACAATTACACGTAGGTAATATTTCCTTCAAGACCACAGCTAGGAACAAAATACTTTTTAGATGAGTTACTGATATATAAAATTATGAGACTTATCATCTATTTAAATTGTGAATATTGATATTTTCATAAGCAGACATATTGTGTTTGATGGGCTTGTTTGTATTATAATAAATTATGAAATGGTGCATAACTTCTTACAGTGTTTGGGGCTATTATGTTTCAGTTATAGGTTCTTATTACATACTTTGGATTTCTAGATAGTTATACTTCACTGCATATAAGACTGATCCTTGCAACAGCTACTCAATAAAACACAGCGTTGCATTATGAGTGTTCATTCATTGCTGGAAAAAAAAAACCTGAAGTACAAGATACATCACTGCTGGCCCAATTTTCCTTGTAAGCTGAAGCTGTGAGTTAGGGTCAGCTGTTAAAGTCAACTAATCCCTATCCCTAACACCAGAGGAAGGTTTGACCTGCAGAGATCGTTGAAACCTGACCAAAGTGAGTGTGATGTCAAGAAGCTGGGCTGCTGTCAGCAGCCACTGGAAGTGATGAAATATGCAGAAAACCGGGCCTAGAAGAGCAAAAGGCATAAACCTAAGTCCCAGCATTGGTAAGTGACAAAACTGAAGGCATAAATTTCTCTGCAGTTAGGCTGCATTTGTTATGAGAGCTGCAGAAAATGGGACAGATAGCACTGTGGTTCAAACTGGGGAGAAAAACGGATCCCAAAAAAGGAAATCTTCCCAATCCACACATTTGGGGGATGCTCCATGTCTGTGTGTTCTATGGGCTGGGCACTGCCTGGAGTGTGAAATACAAAGCACTAGAGAGAACACATTACCCTTTAGCATAAGGCACAGGCTTCTTGCTTGAGCAGCTATATCTCATCCCCAGAGCCATGGGAGAATGGCTTGGAGCCCGCTGGGCCACCTCACACAGGAAGGGCCTCTGACAGCTCAGCACCCCACAGTAACCAGGACAAAGAGAAAGAACAGTGTTTTCAATTTAGTTTTCTTGCCTAATAGGAAATAATTTTAGCTCAACTGACCACAAGTTAAATTCATTTGAAATATAAAAACACTGCATCTGTGATTAAGGTTTTTATTTCACAGAAGAACAGCTTGATAAACCAAGTGAAGTGAGGACCTCAGGGGACAGCATGTGGAGGAAGCCTAGACGAGTCAGTGGGAAAGGGGAGGTGGTGGAGGGGCAGCATTGTGAGTTGTTCCCAAGGAGGGAGCCTGGGACCCGCCAGCCTCAGCATCTTCATTAACAGCTGCAGCATGAGAGGGACTGATGAAATGCAGAGATTATGAAACGGCATCATACTGCTGGTGGAGGGCAGAAGGAAAGGTATTTCATGTAAGAACTGCGTGACCTTGAAGATTCAAGTGATAAAAATGGGATGATTTCAATAGTAATAAACAGGGCCCTCCACTTGCCTGCCTGTAACAATACGTTTCCTATAAAGCCTCAGCAATCAGAAACAACTAAGAACCCAGTTATGCCAGCTGGGCTGGAACGATGATGAGTCACCAACAGAAAGCAGCTGAAAAAAAAGCCCAGAATTAAATCACAAAGACATTGTAAAGAGACAGAATAGTATTCATTCTGTTTTGCAAGACCTTGTCTGGGATATACATTTATACCAAGAGATAAATAGCGGTAGCCAGAAATAACAATGATAAACAGAGCTGGAACAAGAATAAGTGG